GACTTCATCTTCGCCCAGGCTCCTGGCATCAGGTTGCAGAGAATTCTAGAAGTGCTTTTTAAAGTTAAGGGCGGCCATGTGCAAGAACACTGAGCTGCTTGCTGGTTCTCCGTGAAGTCATACCCAACCACAGAACACAGGAACACGCCGGGAGATGACTTCCTGTCCAGAGGCCATGGCTTCCTGTCTCTTTGGAAACTCTCTTATCGCTTGTTCCAGATGAGTCTGGGGAGCCTGTACTCTCCCTCCTGACCCTGGCAAACAGTCTCTGTCAGGACACGACTCCTCTGCTGTGGACTAGCATGCTTTGCTCTCTCCTCAAAGACCAGCCACATAACCATGGTTTGCAGTTCACTCAGGGCCATGGAAAGGTGAGAGAGTAAGTCAGGTTCTTGCAATAAGAGAGTTTCCCTTTGTCCCAGATAGAGATAAAGTGATTTTAGGTTTACAGACAGGGATAATGTCAGTGTCGATAGCTGAGACCCCCTTTGTTCCTGTGCTCTGGAACATCCCGTGAAACAAGGGTCCTGGCATGTCATTACAGACAGGGTCAGCTTGCCTGTGATACTTGCCATCAGGGCCATTCTGTTCCCTAGCCTTATTTTTCTTCTTTGACTAAGAGACTTTCAGGAACAGACCAAGGATTGGAAGTGCTAGGGTTACTGTCATATACCACCAAGCCTGCCCATCCAACCAGTTCTGTTTTACTCTCAAAGGATTGGCCTACACTCCTTTACTGGTTCCAATTAGCTAGAAAAATCAAAATATCAAGTACCCTCCACTCCAGGAAACCCCAGTCTCATCAAACTTGGAATGTTCGTGTTAAGCTTTGATCTATAAAATAAGTGCCGCACCGCCCCCAACACTGTCGTCAGATTATCAAAGTGAGTGTCAGAGTCGATACTTTGTTTGAGGGGTCAGCAATGACATGGTGTCTTCTGTGTGGGAGAACCTAGTCTCATAAAACTTGGATACTACCATAAGAATTCACCTGCTGGTCTGGGAGAAAGTTAGGAATGTCCAGGGCAGTTACTGTTGATCCCCCTAAAGAGCCTGGGATGGGACATGCCTAGGAGAAGGTGGCAGGAACCTTGCAGATGACCACGGCTTGTTCCCAGACCCGAGTTTTCTGCCGTTGTGTCGATCTGGAAGACACTTTCCCTCTGCGTTTACCTCTGCCCTTTCTGAAGATCTCATGTGAGGGAGGCATGTGCTTGGATCTTGTCTCGGCACCCAAGACTCTCGCTGCAAATTCAGCCATGTTCTCAGAGCTTGCCCTACGCAGGACTGCTTATCAGCACACGATCTGAAGCTTCTGTGTCTTCAGGTCAGTCTGTCCATTCTCATCGTGTCTCTGTCTGCTCAGTGTCCATCTTGGCTGCCTGCTACTTCTGATGCATGTATTTTTCAGCTGGCATGAGAGAAGCCCACAGCTAAAACTATGAAAACGGGCATGCAACTGCTTACTAAACAGAAGCTTTTCATTTTAGTGAGCATATTCATCACTGCATTGAAGCTGTGTCTCGAATATCCCTTTCCTTCTGAGGGTAGAAAGGCTCAAAGCCTCCACTCAGACCTGTGCAGTTATAATCATTTCTATTTGTAGAGGTCTTTGGCTGAGTTCATCCACTCCAGCCGCCGCAACAAAACACCATAGTTTGGGTGGCTTAATAATTGTTTTCCAAAATCCTGGAGATTGGGAAGCTCAAGGTCAAGGTAGAGCTGCCTCTGGTCCACAGACAGCTGTGTTTCACTGGCTCTCCACATAGGGTCAAGGCCACTGTCCGTCTGACTCACAGTCCCATTTATGAGGGTTCCCATCCTCATGACAAATCACCTTTAAAATACTCTCCCTGGAAATACTATCACCTTAGAGGTTAGAATTTTAACATGAATCTGAGGGGGACTCAACATTTAGAACATCGCTCTGGCTGTATTTATTTTCTTTCTCTTGTTTGCTCTTTAAGATTTGTTTAGTTCCAAACTAATGTGAAGTGTGTATCCAAGCAATATAAACTTTGCAGGTTATATTTTTCACATGTGTATTCTTCTGTTACATACAAATATTGTATCAGAGGACGAAATGCTTGCTGGGAAGGAATAAGGAGCTAGGTTTAGACCTGCAGCACCCACGTAAAAGCCAAAAATGGTGGCCCTCAACTCTAAGCCCAGCGGTGGGGCTAGCGGATCCTGGGACTTGCCGGTCAGCCAGTCTAGACAAAATGGAAAACTTTGTAAGTAAGCAGTGAAGCCCTTGCCTCTGAGTATTACAGAAATAATGAAGTGGAGAATGATGGGAGAAGACGCCACAGTGGCAGGCTCTGGCTTCAATATACGCATGCGTCGGGATGCCTCTACATATGTACACACACATGCACACACACACACACACACACACACGCACGCACGCACACATATGCACGCACACACATGCACGCTTCACACATAAGCACAAATGATGCTTGTTATTTAAGTCCTTGTTTCTTAGCTGCTGGCCCTGGAGGTCAGGTACCTGGTACAGCAAAGCTGACTTCTCTGCTCAGGCTATACGCAAGCGGCCAGCCAGCTCCATCGCCATCCAGGGCTCCGCCCTCCTGTTGTTAGCAGATCTCGGTTTCTTACAGCCGCAGGACTGAAGCCCTTGCTTTCTTGTTGGCCAGTGACTCTTCTGGGGTCCTTGTCCAGGTCGGCAATGGAGAACTTCTTTCTTGTCACCCCGCCCCTCTAAAGCTTCCGAGATGGTCAACTTTTTGTCATTTGCTGTGACAAATTCCCGGGACAGACAGCTAAATGAGAGGAAATGTTTATTTGGCTCATGGTGCAGAAGTCTCCGCTTGTGTTGCTGTGGGCCCGTGGTAGGCTGAACACCATGGCAGAATCACATGGCAGAGTTAACTGCTTACCTGGTTACCTCATAGCAGTCAGGAAGAAAGGAGAGAGAAAAGGGAACCCAGGCCCCAGTATCCCCTTCAAGTACACACCTCAGAAGCCTGATTTCCTCGTTAGGCCCCATCTCTTGAAGGCCCCACCACCCACTAAAGCTCCATAAAAGGGAAAGCAGGCCTTTAGCCTATGAGCCACTCGAAGGCTATCCAGACCCAACCCATAACAGCTTCCAGTGTCTCTGACTTCCTTTTCTGCCACCGGCAGTACAAAGTTCTCTATGTTGAAAACACCCATCATGAGCCAGGTGTGGTGGCTCATGCCTTTAGACCCAGCACTCTAGAGGCAGAGGCAGGTTGATCTTTGTGAGTCCGACGACAGCCTTGTCTACACAGAGAAACCCTGTCTCGGTAAACAAAGCAGCAACAGCAAAAGCCAGTGTGATCAAGTTGGCCCAAGGGATGATCTCGCTCTCTAAGAGCCAACAGAGACTTATGACGACCTCACATCACACTCAAGATTTGACTCAGGGCCTCAGGAATGAGCAGCAGTGGAGACATCGTAGGAGAACCAGGTTGGCTCTGGGCAGGGAGCTTCACTCGAACTTCAGGTCTCATCCCCGGTCCTGCTCAGGCTTGGAGAACTCAAACACTGAGTGGATATACTATTTTCTACTAAGTCCATGTACTGTTTGGAGGAACCCTGGCGGCTTGAGCAAGGCAAGCATGGCTCTGGCAGGCATTACCTTTCTCCCTCATACCCTCTGCCTTGCTAAAAATCCATTAGATTACATTCCTGTAGCTTGCCCCAGGTTCTGCTCCCTTACTTAGCCACTTCCTCCTCGTGAGGCTGACTACCAAGGTCCGACTATCAAAGTATTTGAGGTCCAGCAATCAGAAGCCCCCTTTGGCTCACCTAATTAACATGCCCAATTCAAATTAAATACCTCATCCTAACACAGGGCTCCCCCCTCTACCCTTTGTAAGTAGCCGTTTGCCTGTGCGCCACCTCTGTCCCCTTTCTATCTATAGGCAGCCCTTTGTCCCTGTGGGAAACACCCCTACCCCTTGTCCCTTGTCCCTTTGTCCTCTATCTCCTGCATTTATCTCTTATCCCTGCCCTCTGTCCCCTTGGGGCAAACAAATCTCCTTTGTGCTGAGAATTTGGCTTTGGGGTCCCTGAGCTGACACTTTCCCTTTTACTGTTTAACTTCAACAAGCTCCCTGTTTGCCAAGGTTTGGCTACTTTGGCTTCCTGTCCTCCCGAGGCCCCAGGGTGTTAAAGGCTTGGTCCCCAGTCTATGGCGCTACTGACAGGTGGCAGGATCTCTAGGCAGTGAGGCTGGGAACCCAGCTCCTCCCTGATTCTCCTCACTCCTAGTTATCGTGACACGCTTAGCGGTGCCCGTCACATCATCACCAGAAGCCGCAGAGTCGCTGGGTCACCTCCAAGAGTGTGAGCACGGTTAACTGTCCCTCCCGCGCTGCTGGTTTATCGCAGGCACTTGTTATAATGACAGGGCTGTGTGCAGCCGCACCTCTGCGGTCCAGTTCCCTTTGCGTTTGCCGGGCTCCCTCTCTCACTCATATGGTTGCCATTTACGTCAAACTACCCTTGTTTTATTAGTCCGTGTGTTGAAGAGTTTAGAATGGTTGGAATTTTTCTTCAGTAGTATATCAGTCAGATTTTCTATGTTTGTTGTTGTTGTATGATATGTGTGTGTGTTAGAGAAATATATAACAAGATTGCAGTCAGAGTCCGTAAAACTATATGAGTTGTGAGGAGTGACTTATTTCTAGGCAGAGACAACAATCTATCAACATGAAAATCCTCTAGTGTGTTTAGGTCTGGGATAGTCCCCACCCCCAACACTTTCTGTACCACCAAGAACACTAAGATGTCTGAAAAATAAGAGAGTAAATTCCCGTGTCCTTCTGAGGTAAAAATAGTTCCATCTAAAACAAGCAGATTAACGGGCACAGGAGAGTCTCTTGAGCCGGCTTCTCTCATCCAAGTGCTTATTTTAAACTTTTCACCGTCACTCACAGCGTATTTTCTCCATCTCTGCTTCGGATCTTTGAGCTATTTTCAAAACTGGCATTCTGTGCTCTTCTCAGATATGGCCGAGCAGTATTTCCAGGAAAGCATGGCTCATGTGAAGGATTCCGAGGGAGCAGGAAGAGCCAAGTTCCTTTTGATTCAAGACGACTTTTGCAATTTTCTGCAAATCACTGGACAAAAAGAAGTAAGTGGATTTAGATCACAGTTGTCAAGCTGTTCACACGGATGGAAAGACTGCGCCGTCGGTCTTCAAGCATCTCTCACGCACCTGATATCTCCAGGGATGTCCTAGCCTCTGGGGAGAGCCAGATCAAGGAGCATCCACATACTTTCTCTTAGAGACCAAACTGTGGGAAAGCAAATACCGCATCCAACTATATAGATCACAAGGGACTGAGACCTTGAGAACTCAGCGGGCAAACCCCTACTCGCTAAAGGTCGTTCTTCCAGCTGGGATGGCGTGTGGCCATCAGTGTCTTGTTTTAGTATTGAATGGAATTTTCATATCTAAGGAAAAACTACACAGCACAGAGGTTTCAGCTCACTCTCGTCTGCTGGTCTGTAAAGGCATGCTCTATGTGGCTTAGAAAAGTGGGCCAAAACCACCTTTATACTTGTCCGAGCTTATGTTATATTAAAAAAAATTTACCTGTTCCCCGTAAATTGTAGCAGCTCCAGAAAGAAAAATAGAGATTTGATGTGTGTGTGTGTGTGCGTGTGCACATATGTGGATGTGTGCATGTGTATGTGTTATGCATGTGTGCATGTGTGTGCACGTGAGTGTGTGTGTGTGTGTGTGTGTGTGTGTGTTTTCAGTCTAGAATAGCAAATCTTGAAGATGAGGATAAAGCGTGCTTTTTCTTTGTTGTCTGGGGACTCCTCCTCTTCCTCGTCCTTCGTCTCTCTTCTCTCAGTTAAGGAACACGGACTTTTATTCTGCACGCCTTCAGTTTGCCAGGCAGATCCACTAGAGTTTCCCTGTTCTTCTGAATCCACCCAACCAAAGACAGGGGGCCCTGCCAGGGCCTTGGATTCCTACCCCAGACCCTTGGTCCTCTGGGGACGTCACAGGTTCCTCATTCTCCTCCAAATGTCCTTCATACATGTGGAGTTTGACATCTGCCCTCCTACCAGGCACCATCACTTGTCAGGACCTCTCTAGCACCTTCCCTTTCCCAGGGGCTTCGTTCCCACTTGTCCGATCTGTGCAGATTTTGAAAGCACCCCTGATCAGTGAGCTCTCATTGGTTCTCCACTGACATTTAACGCCCTCGAAGCAAATGGCCCTTCCACTGTCTAGAATCTGCTTACACGTCTAGGCTCACTTTGTTCCTCTCCCTAACCTAATTTCCTGTAATAAGTTTTCTTATTTTAATGCATGTGTGTCTGCATGCTCATCTGTGTGCAGGTGCATGCGTGTGCACATATTGAGCACATGTGGAGGGCAGAGGACAAGCTCAGATGGCATCCTCAGGAAGGCCTCCCACCTCCTTTAAGGCAGCGTCTTTCATTGGCCTGCAGCTCCCCAGTTAGGCTAGTCTGACTGGCCAGCAAGCCCCAGGGAGCCTTTCATCTCTGCCTCGCTAACTCTGGGATGGCAAGTGCACGGCACTACAGCCAGCATTTTTTGTGGGTTCTGGGGATTGAACTCAGGTCCTCTTGCTTGAAGATGCTTCCAAAGATAGATCCGTCTCCCCAGCCCACACTGCCCTTCCTATCCTTCCACCCCACCCCAAGGCTGGTCTCTTCTTCCATTTCCTCCTGGTAGGCCCTCCCGGATTCATTCCAGACTAGTGCAATCTGTCCTTCAGCTCCCTGCCTCCCCTCCCTTACCTGCATTGGACTTTTCCAATTCTTCCTTACAGAATCCTATTGACGTGGTAAAATATTTGCAGTGTAAACTTATATGGCTCTGTAATGTTGCTCAGAGACTCAAGCTGAGTTCTATGAGGGCAAGGCTCTTCTTGCTCAGTGGAGTTAATGAACAGATTCAGAATGGATGCCTGCTTGCTGGCCAGCTGACTCTTAGCTTCCACAGTCCATGTAGTCAATCTTAGTTCCCAGCTAATGCCCAGTGTCACTCCAGTGTGTCACACACCGATCATTAGACTTGATTAAAAGATGTGCCTTGCTCTCCCAGACTTGGAGATTTGAGCAAAATGACTCTTTCATTCCACAACCATTCCATGCCCTTCTGCGTGTTTGCAAGGATAGGAAAGCTGCCCCTTTCTTAGGCGCACACAGCCAAGCCAGGGCACATTGTTGAGAGAATGCAGCATGGCCTGGGGTTCAGCTCTCCTTCTCCTGCCAGGTACCCCTGCAGTGGCGCAGCCTGCCCAGCCACGCATGATGGCCTCCTGTTGTCTTTATCCTTGCGTACCAACCTCTCACCAGCAGAGTCCCACAAGAGCTCGTGCCGTGGACCTTGGCACAGAGGAGCATGGTGCTTTACCTAATCATCCCAAATGTGGTTATGGCCTATTGCACCAGCAGCAAGGTAACCTCTCAGGAGGGAATGATTTTTACAATAAAAAGTAAGTGAAGGCCACTCTGCTGCAGACTAAGATACTCTGTGAGGAAAGACAAACCTGTGTCCCTCACAGAAGCTAACCACCCACCAGTCTCGTTTCTCCCTTCTTCCCTACATGCTTTGCTAGGGTCAAATCAGTCTACTCAATAGCCGCACATGGCCAGTGTGCTTCTCCTGGACCCTCGTGTGCCCATATCTTCTTCTCTTGTCTAAGTCTTAAGAATTCTTGGTTCTCACCGTTAAGTTTTCCCGTCTGTTTTCCATTGTCATCAGAATGTGCCTTTTAACTTAATACACATCCATTCCTCGTCACCCTAGGCAACTGAAGCAGTGTTAAAGGCTTCATTCAGGAAAGGGACCTCTTGCCCTTTTCCCCATCACTGACTGGCTTCCCAAAGCCCAACAGTCAAATCCCACGGGAAGAGCCACCTCGCCCGGCCCTTGCTTCCGTTAAGTCTTTACTCACCGGTGTTGGGAGGGGATGGACACAGGCAGGTAGGTCCTCATGGAGATCCTGGACCTTTGAGTGCTTTCATGAGCCATACTTGGCAAGTTACACAGTTGCTTTGCCTAAGGAAGTCATTTCTACTCATCACCACCCTCAGTGTGCCAGCCCCAGTCCCTAACTAAAGTTACTGCCAAAAAGGAACAATGTTCTTCATTTATACGCCTGCCTGTCTGTGGCACAGGATCAGGGCGTGCCCGGCTCTCCCACGTCCCGTCCCCCACCCCTCCGCCGCCTCCCCTATACACACGCACACGCAGGGCTATGCTATGGGAATCCCTTTCTGTGGTCCTGACTTTATTTGGCTGTTTAATTTGGCATTTGTGTTGTGCGGCCATAGCTGTGTTTTCATGTGGAAGGATCTGGAAAGAATTTCAGGATGTGTTGAAAGCTCAGACTTTTCCCCCCGTACATCTTGGTATCTGCAAAAATTAATAATCAGGAAATATCGTTTTCTGACCAACTCAGATTTTTCTATTCCATGATGAATAAATACATAAACAAAGCAAGCAAAGCGAGATAGCATGCATGCTCCATGGGATGTTGACTTGGCTCCCTGAGCATTCTCCAAGAGAACAGGAAGTCTGGAAGTAGGATCTGCAGTACAGCCTGGTTTTCTCTTACGCGAGAGGAGTAGTGTGCATCGAGGGAGAAGGGCCTGGACCTACAAAGGGCCAGGGAACCAGATTCCAGCTCCACCACGGATGAGCCTATAGGAACGGGGAAGTTCTCAGCTGCTATTCTATGCCTGGACCTCCTCCTGGGTCAGAAGATAAGGTTGTGTACATCTGAAGAACAAAGCATATCACACATATGTAGCATGAGGGCCGGCTTGTTGGGGTTTCCGTCCCACCCGGTACTCCAACAGCCGGCAAATCCCAAAGAGAAATTACACACAGGACTCCATAAGGTTATAAACTGATTGGCCCAATAGGTCAGGCTTATTATTAGTCCTTGTAACTTATATTAATCCATTATCCTTATCTATGTTAGCCACATGGGCTCAGTACCTTTCTCAGTGTGACAGCTTACATGTTTCCTCTCCAGTGGTCTGCGCAGGAGTGGCTGAGGAACTTTTCTCCTTCCTAGCCTTATCCTATTCTCATTACTCCGCCTCTACTTCCTGTCTGGTTGACCCACCTATACTTCCTGCCTGGCCAATCAGCGTTTTATTAAAATACATGATTGACAGAATACAGATAATTCTCCCACACCACACATAAACTGAGCCCCCGACACAGAAGGGTCCCATGCGGCCTAGCTCTGCTCGTACTGTGAGCTGGAACGGGTTCTAGCCATAGCACACGGTGTCCACACTGCTTTCTGTCTTCATGGTTTGTACCTTCTCTGCCCAGGTAAGTTGTTACTGCCTCTTGTTTAACCAGAAGACAATGCGCAAGCTCTTAAGAACACATCTTTAAAATTTTAAATGTGTATCAATTCATGACTTTTCCTGAGAGGCACAGATCTCACTTAGTCCTTGAATTTTTTAAAAGATTTATTTATCTCTATCTTTGCATGTCTCTGTGTGTTTTGCTTCATGTATATCTGTGTATGTTTTGTGTATATCTGTGTATGCTTGATGCCTGCAGAGGCCAGAGCAGGGCAATGGTGCATCCTCTGGAAATGGAGTTACAGAGGTTGTGAGCTACCACGTGGGTGCTGAGAGCCGATCCTGGGTCCTCAGCAACAATAGCAAGTGCCCTTAACCACAAAGCAATCCTTTGAACATCTAAACCACACAGCATTTTGTCCTTTTCTCAGAGAGCGACCATGATCCTGAGAGAGTCCTTGGAAGCCAAAGTTGGAGTATTTGGTGACTTCAGCCCCGAGGTGGCAGAAACATACCGGTTCCTGGGCAGGGCAGACCTGGCACAGGGAAACCACAACGGAGCACACATGAAACTAAAGAAGGTAAAGTAGAAGCCAGCACTGACCCAAAGGGAGTACTCCCTCGCTTTCCATGTCCAGGCCTTTCCCTCCACTGTACTGCTTTTAAGTAAAATGTATAATGGCTTGTTTAAGTAAGAGGGCATCGCTTCTGTTGTAGTAGATTTAAGCTAATGTGGGAGGTGGGGTAAAAGAGTTCCTCTAAGATACATGCATTCAAAAAATGAATTACCAGTCATGCTTGATGATGCATATATTTTAGAATTTTTTAATAGTATAACTTACTAAGCCTTTCTCGTTATTGCGGTCTTTCTGCATGCCCAGTTCATGAAGGAATTTTTTGTGTTTGTTTTCTTCTCCTCTTCCTTTGAACCTAGAGATTTCTGTGTTTGTTTGTTTGCTTGTTTGTTTTATGTAGCTGGTATAAAGTCTCAGGTTATTTTTTTCCCCAATACCCGTAACAGAAATGCCCCGAGTATTAGCCTGTCCATCACCATTTCATCAATGAGTCCAGCACTGCCCCAGACACAGACTTAGGCTAACACCTCCACCATACACTAAATTCCCACATGCACTGAGCTTGTTTCTATATTTCTGTCCTAGTCTGCTAATCTCCTTTTATTTAGGTGCCAATATTTCACATTTTCAGTTATAGAGATTCTGTGGAATTATTTAATGTGAGGAAGTACAAGACAGCTCATGGCTTTTCCCATAAAACATCAGGGTTTCTGGAAACTTGATTGTTTTTCTACTATATATACCTAGGTAGGTAGGTAGGTAGGTAGGTAGGTAGGTAGGTAGATAGATAGATAGATAGATAGATAGATAGATAGATAGATAGATAG